ATCATGTTGAGCCAGCAGATGGGACTATGACTTGCCAGCCTGAAGATGTCCAAGGGCATCCCTTCTACCCTTGGACAACAGTTCTTTCCCCAGCAGCCCATCTCCGCCCTCCCAGCACTCAGGGAGGAGCACCACTCCCAGCAGCAGGTTATAAGGAGTCTACAGAGATGCTGCAGGGTGCCTAACAGTGGTAAGTCTGAATCCAGACCCATGCAGGAGTATAGTTCACCAGTGCTAATTCCTCCAGAGTGACAGGGTGGAAACAATGCCACGCTGGCTGCCATCTGCACCACTGACACCCTTTGCTCTACCCCTCCAGCCACTCATGACTGCTGCAGACCTCAACAACATTCCCATGAGTGGCCGTGTTTATATTCAGCCAAACAGCTTCCTCTTAGAGGCAGAGGAGGGAACCCAGCTGGACACCAAAGTCCACAGTACAGGTCCGGAGAGTCGCTGCACACCTTAACGGTTCCCATGCACCCTGTCCCTGTGCCCCACACACAGGGTGGTCCAAGGGGCCACCCACACTGTCCCCAGCTCTGGGGACGTGTCACCCCCAGCCAGAGCAGCTGGCAGGGAAGGGAGAGGAAGGCAAAAGCCATGCCGGGCTCGTGCTGAGTTCTGCTTCTGCTTTGTAGAAGCAAACCTGCGATAAGGAGAAGCTGTCTTTCCACACCTAGCTGCATGCACAGAGATTTGTACAGGGTGGGCCTCCCACACTAGGGGCTCCTGCCGCTTCCAGCCCACCACAATGGCTTTTGGGGACATCGTTGGGGCAGGGGAGGACCAGCTGAGTTGGAGCAAGGGTGTCCCCAGGAAGCTGGACCCTCACAGGGCAGAAAAAAGTTATCAGCCTTGCCATCAGGAATGAAGAACTGGAGGATGTTGTGTGATATCAGCCTCGAACATCCTCCTTGTGCAAGGCTGGGTAACAGTGGAGCCGGACTAACCGCCAGCCCGACTGGGGCTCTTGCGAAAAGCATTGCATTAAAGGCAGCCAGGTCAGCCAGTGGTGAAAGTACAGGCTCCTTGCAGGACAGAAACTCTCCCAATGTCCCCCTGCCACCGCAGACCCTGCTGCCTTCCTTCCCCCCGGTTCATTCCATATTCTCCTTGGCACGGGGCACCAGTGGTGGGATGGGGTGCTGAATCCCCATCATCCCTGCAGCACAGGGGTGCTTTTTGGGCTCCCAACACTTCACCCAGCCAGCCCCAGAGACAGCCCTCCCAAGTACAGTCATCAGCATAAACTTTTCAGCCTGTTTTCTCCAACCTGGCAGCACCTTCCCAGCACCTGCACCCTTCCCAGTCCCAGGCCATGGAGTATATAGTGAATATCTCCTTTTGCCTGCGAGCGGAGGCAAAAACAGCAGACAGAGCCAGATGCACCCAAGAACTTCAAAAATCTCCCTTGACAACACAGTCTTGGGGTGCAGGTCTCTGGGCAACCTGCTTCCCCATGGCAGTGCATGTCCGAGGGCTCGTGGTGGGCAGCCGGACCCTTGCTGAGAAGGCAAGAGCAGGAGCACAAGAGGGTGAGCAGGGAGGGTGGGGGGCAGCCCCTGAAGGATAACAGAGCCTGGCCAAGGGGCAAGATATGCGGCAGCGAGGCCAGTGTCCATGCGCAGGGCAGGGTCATGCCTGGGAAGCAGAAGGACAGGAGGGTGGGACAGGGATGGGGACAGGAGGGTTGGTCTGGAGGAGGGACCAGCAGTGGGAGGCGCAGGCTGGGTGCTGCGAAGCCTGCCTACACCCACAGCAGTTCCTGCTGGGCTGCCTGCCTGTGCCCGCAGGCTGAGCCTTGTGCCTGGCGGGGACACCTTGGCGTCGCCCTGGAGCCCAGAACGACGTGGCTGTGGAGCCCACAGTGGCACTGTCACCATGCTGCTCTGCCAGAGACGACCCCAGGAGACTGCGGACCACGCTGCAGGGTGAGAGGTGAGGGACCACCCCGAGGGGATGGAGAGATAGGACAGACCTGGGGACAGAGGGGGAAGTTCCAGGACTGGGGCAGCCCATGGCCACTGCCAGCCCACTGCACCAGCTGGTCTGCATGGGTTTGCAGGGACAGGGACAGTGTTCCCCTCCCTGTAAAATGTCACTGCCCACGGGCACAGCCAGACTGCCCACACCACAGCCCAGCACCCAGCGTAGCCCTGGAGCCCACTGCCCGGGCATGGGGAGGTCTCGGAAACCAGCTGCCCACGGGACGCTGCCTGCTGAAGCTCCAGGCAGAGGCAGTTGGCAGAGCTGGCCGCAGATCCCTCAGGGTGATACAGGCACAGGAAAGGGGGGAAATTGCCCCATTTCAGCACCAGGCTGCTGGGCAGAACTGGGTAGAGCCCTTTAATCCTGCGGTAGAGACACCCAGCTCACACCAGTGTGGGACACTACTCTCCATAACCCTCTGCCCTGCCCTTTGTGTAGGTCCTACATCAACAGGCAGCCTTCCAGCTGCAGTGTCCCCATGCCCTGCTCCCCACACCCTGCCCTCCCAGCTTCTCAGCCAGCTCCTGCTGTAACCGTTCCTCCTCAACGCATGCCGGTGCGCAGCTGCTCACCCCACAGCGAGCCCTCTGCACACACGCACACAGGACTGGGGACATGCACCATGCGCATGTGAGCAGAGACCCCCCGCTGTTCACACAGGCTTGCTGGCAGCATCCCCCTCCTCGTGCTCCCAGGGACACCACCACCTCTGCCAGCACAGCAGCCTGCCCGTGCTTCCTCACACCCCTCATGCAACCCTTGCCCGTGCAGGCAGTGACGGGGAGCAGGCAGATGCCTGGGCAGTGGCATGGGGGCTCGTGCAGAGGGGAGCCTGGCCTGGCTGCCCCTCAGCGGGTCGGGACGCAGCGCCGGCGGGAGGGGGCAGGGGATGCCTACAAATATCTGAAGGGTGGGTGTCAGGAGGATGGGGCCAAGCTCTTTTCAGTGGTGCCCAGTGACAGGACAAGGGGTAATGGGCACAAACTGAGGCACAGGAAGTTCCGTCTGAACATGAGGAGGAACGTTGGACTGGGTGACCCACAGAGGTCCCTTCCAACCCCTACTATTCTGTGATTCTGTGATTCTGTGATTCTGTGGGATGCGTGGGAGAATGCAGGCAGCAGGAAGGAAGCCTGCGCCGAACAATAGAGGGAAATGGAGGAACTGGAAAAAGACCCAGTGGCAGCACAGTCAGCACAGATGGTTTAGTGCGGAGCAGCATGATTCATGGGAAAAAGGCCCTCAGCGCTCCACGGAGAGCCCGCAGCTCTGTCCTGGGGCTGTGCCAGCAAATAATTTGGGGACGGGGGGTCCGTGGCGGAGCAGGACCTCGTAGGTGGGCACGGTGCTGAGCGCGAGCTCTGGGCCATGCCCCTCTTTCTCC